CCCAAATGGGGGATTATCTTCAGCCTCTGCAACTTTGTACATTCCCCAGTTAGCAATCTATCATTCTAATTACAACAGCTATTGACTGGTTGCTTTGGCCTTGGCATAGCTTTTTGGTAGGGATTGGAGATACAAGCCCAGAATTTTAATCTCTCTTGATTTTTTCTTACATCAGAATCTTCAGAGACTTGGATCCATGCCTTGAAGATACCAAAATCTTTTACTTTGGGGGATGCTTTCTTATTTTTGATCTTGTTCTTATTTTTGTTGGGGGAACCAGGCGGGTTTAGATCTTTAATGGGATTTTATCAGCTTCAAGAGACCAATTCAAGACATTACAATAAAACTTGACCATAATTTTCAAGATCTGGATTGATGGCAAGGGTCATGTTGTATTTTGTTGTGGTTGCAATAGGGTATCAAACATGACCAAATGTATAATTATGTAATTGACTGGTTTTCAAAAATACACCATTTTTGAAGCATATTTTTTCTTCACCCCTCAACTCTTAGGGATCAATTATTCAAGATTTAATTTTTGAATAGTTCAATGGTTTCTAATTGTGGATTTTTTATATTTGATACCCCCTAATCATATTGTATTTCAAATATTGAGGATTGCAAAAATTAATGTGTGACTTGCAAGTGAGCTGGTTTCAGGCCAGAATTTGCTTCCCAAACCCACCCTGTTTCATAAGCCGGGGTAAGCAGGGCCGGGTTGATACACATTTCCTCCGCCACCTACAAAACCTTGATTCGTCCAATGACAAAAGTAAAAAGGATAGTCTGCTCAGCATACCAAAATCCCTGAAGATACTTTCCTTTGTTTACTTTGGCCCACTCAGCTTTCCGCGTGCACCATTCTATCAGCAGCAACAACTGATGAGGCCTGCTGCTATCTCCTTGCCTATAAAGTCCCCACAGTGGGCATTGTCACTGTGAAAATTAACAATGCATTTTTCAGAAATTTAGCAAGAAAGATCAACTTGGACAGGATTTTAACCAGCAAACCTAGCTGCAATCTAAGACATGAGACCAAAAGTGCTTCCTTTACCAACTAAGCTACCAAGTCTGTACCTGATATGTTGATTTTTGAAAGTATGGCTTGATTTCATTTGGATACATAAGCACACAGAATTTAGTTTCAAACAGGCCAATGCGTTTTTAAGACACTGTAGATTACAAGATTTCAACAGTCACTGTTTCTGTTAAAACATTGAGTGTTTAATTCTTCAGATGAATATTATCTGGGGCTCTGGGAGCTATGGTGATTCTCGTGTGTGTAGCTGGAGAACCAATTGTACAAAATATCCTAGATATGTTTTATGTTTTCTACTTCCCCCTCCAAACCAATTTCTTCCATGAGTAAAAAATTTATCAGCTCAGTTTTGTAACAAGGATCCAAAATCTGACTGACTGAAGAAAATTCCTGCATGGTTTCCCAGTGCTTTATGAACTTGAGATCCATTGGTTCAGGAATGAGGACAATATGGAAGTTTTTGTTTTTAATACCATGGGGAATCAATTTTCAAATTTGCTTGAAATGTTTGAAATCAAGATGTGCTGTGGGGTGCTTTTTTCCTCCAAGATCTAATTCAGCTGTTGATTTTGTCTCAATTAGTTTAATTCTGTTTATATGAACAATATGATTGGAAAAAGGGAAAATAATGACTCACTGGTATTGAAAACACTGAGGAAATCTGACAATGTCTTGAGTTGCTCCCACTTGTCATCGGAGGGATAGTGATGATAGTTGGAATCTTGAATTCTGAGATTGTTTTAGGCTGACATATACAGAAGTGAGGACTTTATCATTTGGTAAGTGGAATTTCAGAGAGTTGGGACATCAGTGAAAGGCTAGGCAATTTTGTTGATATTTGACATTTTGATGATCTCTCTAGAGGCCTCATGTTGTGAAGGGGTTAGCTTCATATGTTTCACACTTTCAAAGAGATTTTCAATGTCAGATCAGTTTGTATCTATTTCATGCTTCCCAATCAGGTTGACAACATGTGTCAAGCATTGGATGTGAAAAGATCTTCTGTTGAAGTATAGTGATTTTGTTTTTTCTTGGAGGAAACTCTGAACTTTAATTGCAAAATCATTTGAACTAAGATTGTTGACTGTGATGAAGGCAACTTCATTCAGAATTTTACACTCAATCATGACAGACAAAAAATTCTTGTAGATAGTGATTCCAGTGTGCGGAGAAGTTGGAGTTTTGAAAGAGATGATAAAGTTGGTGAGATTTCAGTCAGGAGACAAGTAGTGTGTGGTGATGAACATGTATCCAATCTGATTTTAGGATGTACACAGTTTGGTTTTGAGTGATATTTGATCAGTGTTCTTGATTTCTTTTGAGATTTCCCCCTTCATGAAGTGGAACATTTCAACCAAATCATATTTTACCATCATTCATCCATGGAATTTGAATTTTGGCTGGATTGAGTCAATGAATCTTTAAAATAAGGTCTTCTACACAGATCTGAAGGTTTTCTCCTCTGAAATTATTATTTTAGTGGGGAGATCCCTTGACATATTTTGAGAAAAAATCCTAATGTAATCGGCTCCAACCAATCCTGAGGCTTGTGGAAAATTTCAAAGGGACTGCTTTTTGTGATTTTTGTACTTGGTACATTTTTTATGCTGTTGCTGTAATTGATTTTCTCCGTGGGAGCTTTTTCAAAACATGACTATCTTGCAGAACAAGCCTTTGGTTGTGAAATGAATCCAAATTTCACTTGTTGTTTTTTGTGTCTCAGGATTTGAATTGCCAGGTAAATCTTCACTATTTTCATCAATTGATATGGGACTGATGATGGTTTTTGACTGTAGAATGAGAGTAATACTAGAAGGAGGCACAGGCAAACTACTCACCCATTTTTTTTCTGAAACATTTCAGAAACTATTTGGAATTCTGACATTAAAAGAGGAAGAAAAAAATCTGATGTATCTCTGAATGCAATTCTTAATTCATGTGTAAGTTAACTAGAAATAAATCTGAACTATTGATTAAGCTGAATTGTATTCAAATAA